CGAGGCCGGGGCAGGAGGTGGGGCCCTCGCTCTTGTCGGCTTTCATGGTTTGTCAGGCTCGCAGCCCGGTATTACTCCTCTCCTCTGTCCTTCACAGCACTTCGGCATGTCCCAGAATCTCATCCCCGGCCACAGCTGACCACAGACATCCACTGGTCCAGCAGAAATCCTGTTTTCCCAGCTTTCTCTCCCTTTGAGGTTACCGAACAAACACAAAAAGTTATAAAATAAGCCATCAGTATAATTTAATTTGCCCTCGGGTAATATTTTTCCGTCTAAAAAGCCACGCTAATCATTATATACTGCAGCCTTTTTGCCTAGAGTGTGGTTTCCAGAGCAAGTGATGGAGTATCCATCCATCATATGTCACAGAATCACAGAATCACAGAACCATTCAGGTGGGAAAAGACCCTTGGGATCATCGAGTCCAACCCTCAGCCCTACCCTACAGAGTTCTCCCCTACACCATATCCCCCAACATCTCATCTAAACGACCCTTAAACACATCCAGGGATGGTGACTCCACCGCCTCCCTGGGCAGCCTATTCCACTCTCTGACCACTCTTTCTGGGAAAATTTTTTTCCTAATGTCCAGCCTAAACCTCCCCTGTTGCAGTTTAAAGCTGTTCCCTCTTGCTCTGTCACTAATCACCTGTGAGAAGAGACCAGCACCAACCTCTCTACAATGCCCTTTCAGGGAGCTGTAGAGAGTGATGAGGTCTCCCCTCAGCCTTCTCCTCACACTAAACAGTCCCAGCTCCTTCAATCCCTCCTCACAGGATTTACTCTCCAGGCCCTTCACCAGCTTTGTTGCCCTCCTCTGCACTCGCTCCAGCACCTCGAGATCTCTCTCGTATTGAGGTGCCCAAAAGTGGACACAATGCTCAAGGTGTGGCCTCACCAGTGCAGAGTACTGAGGGACTATCACCTCCTTACTTCTGCTGGTCACACTATTGCTGATACAAGCCAGGATGCCATTGGCTTTCTGGACCACCTGGGCACACTGCTGGCTCATGTTCAGCTGCTTGTCAATTAGAACCCCCAGATCCTTCTCTTCCAGACAGCTCTCCAGCCACACCTCCCCAAGACTGTAGCCATGCAGGCGGTTGTTGTGGCCCAAGTGCAGGACCTAGCACTTGGCGAGGGGGGACAGTGGACACCTCCAGTCCCAGCTGCACATGATGGAAGATCTCAGGATGGAGGTGGACCCATTCACAAAAGCATCAGCTCTGTGCCCAGAAGCTGCCCAGAAGCAAAGGGCAAGCTGGCAGATTCAGCTCCACTATGAACATGCCAGCCCTGCCATCTGCTCATCTCCTGGAGCACTTCTGGGATGTCCAGGCACAAAGTTGTCTTTGTCATGGTAAAAAGATAATGGCTGTTCTGCACCAAGGTGTTTCTGGTGAGAAGAGCAAGGCGTTAAGCACAAAGTCAGTGAAATGCAGAATGTATGCTGGAAACATCCTCAGAAGCTTTCTCCAGGGGAGCAATGGAACATGTGGCCATGGGGTACACCAGCCCCACAACTCTGCAATGGGTCAAAGCAGAGCAAAGATACCGAAAGTACCAGGCTTACCAAGGGCAGCTAGAGTCCTTCCCCCAGCCTGCCTCCCCACCAAAGCAGAGGCAGGTTTCCCCACCCAACACAAAGTTTGGTCATGGATATTGCTCAAAGCCTCCAGCTGCTGCTGACACCAACCTGCTGTTGACACAAGCAGAACCCAGAAACCACCCGCATTTGTACAGAGGAGAGGAATATCTGGAACTGCAACAGCCAATGCTGAAACCAAGGTGCTGTGAAGTAAGGTGGGACTTTGCCCGCAGGGCCCCTCCTGGAAGACCACTCCTGATGTCCATCGTCCTGCGGCTGCCCACAGACACCCAGCTTGCTGACCACCAGAAGAAGAAACTGTTTGTAAAAGTAGCTAGGATCCAAAAGGATGGGACATTTAAAGATAGGATATTTAAAGGGGATATTTAAAGAAAAACACATGGTTTTCTAAGGCTTTGACTCACAGACATGCCAGTGGGAAGAACCTCTGGTGGAAAAAGGCATCTGGCATCTCCCATCTGGCTTCCCCTCCGGGAAGCCAGCCCCATCCCATGGTGAGATGTGCCCAGCCATCACAGGAGCCTCTCGTAGAAATCAATCAGACAAAAATGATACATGTTGCTGCATCAACCACCTTGGTATTATTCAAACCTCGTGCTAAGAACATGGTGTGCATTCTCACCCATTTCTCTAGAGCACTTGGGTGGTGGCATCCGTACTACCGTGTTGCATCACGCCCAGCGCAAGCTCCAGGTGCAGCACCAAGCGGCTGCTCTGCTCGCACGTGGCTTCTTTCCTCTCTCCGTTTGTTCCTGATGGGTAAGGATCCATACACATGCTCATGGGGAGGGTGAAGAGGACCATCACGAAAGCCCGTGCTGGAAACAACAATCTATTTTTATACTTCCTCCCTCACAGAGACAATCCTCCGCCTCTGCTCTGCTTGGGAGCAGCAGCACCTGTGGGCGGGCAGCTCTTGGCTGGTAAAGCCTTTGCCTCTGGGAACGCCTGTCCGCGTTTCCTTATTGTATTTTATTTTCAGCTCAAGGAATTTAACACTAGCTACTACTTTTTTTTTTTTTCCTCCCCTCTCTTTAGGATCACTAGTAAAGCCAGCAAAAACAAAACTGCATTCCTCAATTCCACTTCTGTGTCATGGGCCAAAGTGGTTGTGTTCTGCCAGGGTGTTGGGGAAACCACTACTGGGGCCAGAGCTGGGAGATGAGGCTGAGAATTAATTACCTTGACTGGTATCTCAGATGGTGATGAAGATCACCCACCACTGGGCTGGAAGAGGCTGGGAAGGTGCTGGCCCCTGGGACAGCTCTTCCCTCTGAGTACATCTGGATGTTACTGTCCAGAACAGCCAGAAATGCACCCGGAGACCTCCACTTGGCCCCTCCAGAGCCAAGGGACAAGGATGGGGTCTCTGCCAGCTCCAGCCCTGCATTGGAAAGAGGAAAGTCACCACCGAGGCTCTCACAAGGGCTCACATTGGGCAAATGGCACAGAGGCGAGGGTGGGTGGGAGGCATGGCGTGTCCCCAGGGTCCCACTCGATGGCTGGCCTGGCTCCATTGTGGATCAGCTTGGCTCCCTACCACTGCAGGATGAAAAGGGCTCCCTCTCTGAACAGCACTGGCCTTGCTGAGCTGCACCACTATAACACAGTTGCTGGTGCTTATGAAGCACCAAATTTTTACAAATAATTTGCTCATTTTCTTCACAATTTTCATCCAAATCTTGTTTTGTTTTTCTTTGGTTTTTTGCTTGGTTTGTTTTATGTAAACTTCCTTTAATAAACGAATGGCTTTTTAACAATGAGTTTTTCATCAAAATCCTGGCAAATTTGAAATACTAGGCTGTTGCTTTTAAAACCAAGCAGAGTGCATTTCAAATGCCACAAACCAAAACCAGCTTTACAGTTTTCATGTTCTGAAATGGCTTTCCATCACAGGGCAGTTGATTTGCAAGCTGGCCTCACTCCTTGCAGTTCCCACACCCCAGGACATGTCTTGGGCTTCAATTAGCAGTAGCAGGAGCGG